CCAGCAAACATCAAACGACACGGAACAAACCTCAGACGAACTTCCGAGCTGTAGGTCCAATACTGATTCGGGAATGCAGCATTCTAATGTGACAGATCATAATCGCAACATTTGTCAGCTTAGCCAAAATTCTAGCGGGCAAATGTTGCCTCAGGTAGGTGCAGGGATTGTTGAGGCAAGCTCTGTTCACTCAAGCGATCATGCTGAAACTTCACCAGATTTACAGAAGGTAAACTATTTTTAAAATGTTGTCAGTTAAAGATGATTTACACTGACTCCGTACTGCGCAATCTCCACCTGCAATGTTTATGTCCCATACGAAGGAATGTAAATACTAGCCAAAATGTAAATTGCGGTACAAACTTACCACATATACGCCAGATACCATTGCCAAACAATAATAACGAGTATAAGAACCTCGCCGTTATCCCAAACCGACGTTTCAGTTCATCGAGCATTCCTAAACGTAACGACCCGTAATGGCGGACTCAAAAACATCATGTACTCTATTACCGAAGTATAACATATCAACAAGCTCAAAACAAAAATGGAAACAAACCCTGAGCATGCGCAGTGCGGACTGTAAATCATCTTGAATGTTCGTCCTTTTTGTAAATATATAAACGACCTTTTAATTACACGGCGTCCTTTTGAAATATTTTAGTGCTCAAATAGTCAGTGGAAGACAAGGGCAGATGAAACAAAAGTAAGTATAATTTCATTGTTCATGAGGTTACTGAAAACAAACAAACAAACAAACAAACAACTATGGAGTGCCCTGCTTTGTCAAAAATCAATTATAACGAGCTATTGCTTTCATTGGTTCCAATGAACGAAAAACAAGTGTTATCTGATAGACGTTATAGGACTTTCCCTGCTCTATAAAAGTCATACATTTATCGACCGCTTACAATGAAGATCCCATATTAATTTCTTTGTCTTCACTTTCATATCAACCAATAATAACTTTTATAAATTTGATCATATTTCCCGCAATCTGATTGGTTGTGCTGTCGTTTAGCATGCAGGCTATGTAAACACGTTTATGAATATATTTTATAAAGTCAATTTATGTATCTTGTTCCTTCAAAATTTATTCCAATGCATTTATAAAATATGGGTGTGTTGCTTTGGATGAGCTCTGTTTGCTGGGCAATAACACAACATCCCAATGTGGGAATCTTTTGGTGACAGGTGTGGCCGTTTATTTTGATAAGGAGCATAGAAAGCTCAAATTATCACAGCATACAAAGCATTATCCCAGCAAAGATGAGGGAGAAACCGCCACCCTGACGTGACGATAATAGAAAAAGGGGGTGTGGAGGGAGGGGAAAATTGCCTTCACTCTCTGAGAATTTCAGCGAAAGAGGATATCCCGGATGACAGGAAGTCCCCTAACCGGAAGCTGAGAGATGACTAATATGTAAGAAGCTACTTAAAATCATTTATTTTGTCACATAAATATCCTAAAAATACACTTACTCTTTACATGCATAACCTGATGCAAACACTTGACAAAGTTTGGGAGAATTAAAAAGTACTTGTGTAAACTTTCGCTGTTCGGGTTCTCATAAACGTTTGAATTATCCTAACTATTTATCTCGTGTTTGCATCATGCGCGTCATTTTCTATTTCAATCGATCGGTATTCGGTTACCGTAAATTTCCGAAAGCAAAGTCCCTCGTTACTTTCAGATTTAGCACCGCTACTTTCGGATGGTCGCTACCAACACCGAAATGTGAAAGCACACGCACAGTTTTATTTTTATCTTTAGATATTTTGCTTAATTAAGGGTTAGGTTAAGTAATCAGTCTGTCCAAAAAATAAAGATGAAACGGACAACCCTGGTGAAACTGAGAACAGAATACGTTTTAACGAGAACTTGAGACATATCTTTTTTTTTGCATGGTTACAGGCGTCGAGACATGCACTGCACAGAGCTTCGATTAATGGAAAATGGAACACAGTCAAGATGCTTCTTGCAGATGGCGAAAATGTAAACCAAAGAGACAAGGTGATCCATTTACGTTACTTTAGTTGCTGTTGTTGTTATTGTTGTTGTTTTCTTTAACTAATTTACATTTTATTTGATGGGTTATCTGACATACGTACAAAAAAATCATTAAACATGCAGTTGCGTGGTTAACCAGCAACCAGTCTAATGTTTTCGCGCTCTTTTTCTTTATTGTGTTGATTCGTGCGACCCACATAAATAGCATATTAAGTGCATAGAAAATGAGCCTAATCGAAGGTTATTGCATTTTTATTGGGTGTTGCGTAGAATAACTAAACTTGAATCATGTCATGGATGTTTTAATTTGCAGTTTTCATTGACACCTCTTCACCTTGCGGCTTGGTATGGACAAGAGTCTGTTGTCAAACTGTTGTTACGACTCGGTGCTAATGTCAATGCTGTAGACAGAGTAAGTGGATTTGTTATATAATTAACTCTTTTGGTAGTTAATGAAATCAATGTCACGGTTTGCTAATTAACAATTATTGGATGAGGTTTTTGTGATATCCAGAATAATCAAGGTCGAGGTAAGAGTTATCTTAACGAGACCTTGATTTTTCTGGATATCACCAACACCGAATCTAATAATTGTTTTATTATACATTCAACGAAAAAAATAATGATTCTGCCACCGATGTTGTTTACTTATAAGCGGCAAGCAACGCAAAGCGCGCGAACTTGACATGATTACCCGTGATCATCTCGTGAACTTATATGATTATTATATAATCTGCAGGTGGATGACGAAGATGCTTTCAAAGGCGCTGATTTCGAAAATTCACTGTACGCTTTCGGCCAATCAGAAAAGAGATAGTGAGTTGAATGTATAATAATCAAGATAATGAACATAAACATAATAATTGTTCACGTTTCGTAGCTCTACAGAATCAGATGTGGCTTCGCTTTTGCAAACGAAAAATAACAAACAAAACAAAAAAGCATTCATTGTCGCGTCAAATTTCTTATGATTCAAGTTTCAGAAAACACCTCTTCAAAAGGCTGAACGTCACAACCATGAGTCCATAGTGCAGTTACTTCTTAATTTTGGTGCATCTCCAAGCTATCAGCAGCCGGTATGGATATATTATAATATCATTATACCACTAGATTCTTACGCAATGTTTGGACTTAATATACCTTGTGTTTTTTTGTAAGTTGTCTCCATTTAGAGCTATCCACGTTTTCAGTCCGATACCTGCAGTTTAACACGCTATTGTAACTGCTCGTTCCCAGGGCTACTAGAACTTATACTATAAAAGGAATTGCAACTCCTATATTTCACAAATTCCAGGTGCGAAATTGAAATTTTAATTAGTACTCTTGCAGTCGTGTCACTAACACGAATAAGATATAGCTTGATGATGTGTTAACACAACATTCTTAGCAAAAATGAACCGCATTTTATCAAAAATTAGTTCGTAGAAAAAGCACATGTTGTCTGTGAGCTATTTAAGCTTTGATCGTTGATTGGCAACTAAGCGTGAGAATGGCCAGGCCAGGCCCCTTTTATACCGGAACTTCTCGTTTAAAGTTATTACAATTTTGTTTAGGCTTCAGTTTGCTGAAATGTTTTAGGGCCTTGCACTCAAATAGTTATCAGTCCGGATTATCCCAATCTTTTCGAACAGCCGTGACGTCACGAATCTATTGTTCTCCAGGAAAATGGCGGCCGTTTTTCAAAAACCCCGGGCAATGATAAAATCCATTGTCTGTAGTTACGTATGAGCGCCTATCCGGGACTTTTAGTTACAAAACATTGCGAGGAGTATACAGCGGCCATTTTGGATGTGATCTGAGAAGATTTGAAGGAGGTTTTTTAGTGAATTTTCGTGAAAAGAAACGCAACGATGTAGGGCCATTTTGTGTCGCGGTTTCAAGGTAGGTGAATAATTTTTTTGCTGGTTCTTATGTCGATAAACCTTCGTCATGCCAAGTGCCAGCATGGTAGACAAGCTAGATTTCTGGTACACTTTTCTAGAAGTCAAGGCAGTGAAATTGTATCCAAACTGCTGTTCCATCACATGTAGACTTGTGTGATTTTGACCAGTTTTCACTTTCCTCGCTGAAGAGAATGGGCTTTAATTTGTTGTTTTCAAAGTTTGTAGGGATGTAGTATGGTAATTCTGGAACTTTGCCGAGACACAAGTTGATTGTTAAAATTCTAAACCCGAGACTTCAATTTTTTTGTATCCCTAGTAATGTTGGGCAAGTCCAAGATTAATTTGAGACTTGGGTAACATTTGCCAAAATGCATAAATTTATTTTTTAAAAACCCTGACCACCACAGCCACTGAAGCTATCTAAAAATATTGATGTGTATTGGTGAAAACTGCATCATTGACATATATTATTAAACAAGTAGAATTTGTTTTCCATGTCCACTCAATAATGTGCACTCAAGTTCTAGAATAACAGCTAGTGGATGCATGAGTGGTAGTTCCGTCGTAGTGAGTTAATTCAGCTGCTTTTGTAGACCAATCATGCATTATAAGGGAATAGAAAATGCCACCAAGTGCATTGTTGAGTTATATAACCATGCGGGATTTAAAAAAAAACACACACATACAAAAGAAGTAACTTACTCTCCCAAGTGCGTCATAAAACACTCCGGTTATTGGAGAACACTTGAAAAATATAGAAAACACTCGCCTGCGGCTCGTGTTTTTCTAAATTTATCTTGTGATCTCAAATTCCTGTCGTGTTTTATGATAGTATAATACATGGCTTTGGCTTCTTTATTTGTTGAATGTTGATTGAAACTTCAAAGTAGTTAGTCACACTGATTAAAGCTGTCATTTCTTTCAGGTCCTGCATTCAGCCAAGAGGCCATGTCAAGAATGAAAATAGTGTGGAAAAAATAAATAAAGTGGATTTTATTTTTCAAAACTACATTTTGTTTTGCATAGTTCAGTTGAATTTAAAATAAAACCTTGAGGCTTGTGGACATTTTAGATATGATGGCTTCTGCCCCTTGTCAACCCTGGGAGATACGGTGGCCTAATGGTTAGTGCATTGGACTTGAATCAGATCGAGCGGTCTGGGTTTCAAGCCCTGGCCAGCTGGATCATTGAGTTCTTGGGCAAGACACTTTATTCTCACAATGCCTATCTCCACCCAGAAGTATAAATGGGTACCGGCAACAAAATACTGGGAGGTAACCTGTAATGGACTAGCATCCCATCCAGGGGAGTAGCAATACTCCTGGGCCCGGTTGTTCAAAGGGTGGATTACGCTATCCACTGGATAAATCACTATCCAGTGGATAGCCTAGTTTGTTTTGTCAACACTTATCCACTGGATAGTGATTTATCCGGTGGATAGTGTTATCCACCCTTTGAACAACTGGGGCCTGGTCAGCTTTTAGTGATGCTAAGGAAACCGGGATTAGCTCCGGGCCTCTGGCAGTGTGGGCCAGCTTGGCCCGAGTGCGGCTTTTTTACTCTGACTGAGAATATAATTTTTTTGCGAATCAACTTGCCTCTTCTGAGAGGTGATGATGGCTTTCATGTTTTAGCTGTATATGATATCTCTTTGCAACATGAAAATAAAGCAGATACAAAATAAATTTGAAATAAACACCAAAATAAAGAGATTTCTCATTTGCAATGAAATAATTTCATTGCAATCAGAAAAAAATATATTGGTTCGTTTTGTTTATTCGGTACATTTTTGTAAATAAAAGACAAATTACCCATTCCAGAGTTATTGAATTTGGGGCTAAAGTACTCTGCACACCAGGCATACACACCAAAAGATAAAATCAACCACATTTTATTAAGCTTAACCCTATTCTGCCTGGGCTTTTTTTTCGTTCCTGAGCCTGGGGCCCCTATGTATCTCGAAAAGTATTGACGCTATGAAAATGAAACTTACAAGGTGTGTAAAGCATCCAAAAATCTTTATTTTAGTGGCAGTCACGTGTCAATCATGACGTCATACACGCCACAGTGACGTCATACGTTAAAAAAATCCGCCATCTTGGATCCTAAATCTTGGATTTCTAAATTGTTCAGAAATGTAAGAAAATCTCCAAATTGCTTTGAAAAATCAAGAAAAATATAAAGATGCTAAAACGGCAGAGATTTTGGAAGGATTTCATCGTAAAAAGCAAAACTTTTATGAAAACTGAAAATTAAGCTAAAAAATCAACAAATTTGGGTAAAACGATCTGTATCTCAAAAAGCATTTGTGCTATAGAAATAAAACTTATGTGGTAAATAAAGCATTCAAACATGTTTATTTTAGTGGCAATTACGAATCAATTATGATATCATATCACGCCGAAATAACGTCATACTTTAAACCTGTCCGCCATCTTGGATCCGCCATCTTGGATTTTTCAATTGTTCAGAAATGTCAGAAAATCACCAAATGTGATTTGAAAAATTCGAAAACAATATAAGGATGCAAAATTTGCAAAGATTTTGGAAGAAACTCTTCGTAAAAAACGAAAATCTCATGAAAACGGACATTTAAACTGAAAATACCAAATTTGGCTAAAACGGGCCTGTCAAAACTTGGTTGCCATGGAAACATCAAGTCCCCTGATCAAAAAATTGAACACAACCAAAATGTTCCCAGATAATTTTTAGGAAAAGTCATAAAGTTTGGCTATGATTGCTTGAATGCTCTTTAAGTACGATAAATTTGAAGTCAGCGCGGGCACTTTCTGCCCCCCCCCCCCCCCCCCCCCCCATGCAGAATAGGGTTAACTACAGGGCTTTATAAAGCATATCAAATCTCTAGAAGTATTTGGAACAAAAAATAGTGGCAGATTTTCTTAAAGTTTAACTCGAGCTGATTGCAAAATATGGACGTCCTGTCGATTTTAGACCCACAAATCGCTCGATAGAAAGAAACATTTATTTAAAGGTCTAAATCAATTCAGTGTTTAATTAAGAAAATAAACGATCCAATCGAAAAAGGTGACAATACAGAGAAGAGATGCATAACAAATCTATGGTCTCTTTCCATAGAAAGATAAAAAGTAGATCGATAAACCATTGCCCGACCCGTATTGGTACGATCGTTGCCAACAGTTTCCAAATAATTTTACCTTCTTCACGCGGACGAACGTTAGTTTTTATCTGTAATATTGGAATGCGAAAACAAAGTTTCCCTTCTGGTCATAACTTTAATTCAATTCTTTCGTGATTTAATATACCTTCCGAAGAAAGATATTGGGAAGGCTCCCAGCTCACGGGAGCAACGGGAAAGGAGAAATTTCCCAGCTCACGACTCTCTCTTCCTTTCGGCCGCCATCTTGAAATTTTTGGTTTTGGTTTTGAAATGCGATACGTGGATCGCAACACGGATTCTCATTGTTTGAAACACGAGATTCGTGGCGTCACGGTTGTCCTAAAAGATTGGGATAATCCGGACTGGTTTATTATGAAAATACGGGTATCTGAACATGAAGCTTCTTTTTCTTAAAATATCCTATTAAAACACCTTTTTTTGTGGCTATAGAGGTGTCTCTACAGAGTTGTACAAACAGAGTTTTAGTAAATTTTATTTTCATATCAAATTAATTGGCAGCTCAGTCTTTATTCGCTTTCTAAGATGGCATTCTTAGCTTGTTGACCGGAGATCTGGCTTCAATCGGCTACAGGCGGCGGTGTATGAAGGAGATTACAGCACAGTTTTTTAGCTGCTTGTGTATACACTGAAACTTCTTTGAAGGAGATGAGCATCGTATCAACATTAAATAGCGCGAAAAATTTTCCTGGGAAAACTGCTTGTGATATCCTTTCCGGTTTGGACGAAGAAGGGCATGCCGACATTAAGAAGTTGTAACAAAGAAAAAGCCGAGAAAGTTGCCACTTTAACAGAGCTGCACAAATGTTTCCTGAAATCAATGATAATGGAGACAGCTGTTGAGCTTCGTGCTGCCATCACGGTACGGATGTAAAACATGCCCCTGGCAAAAGGTAATCGGAACACCATTGCTGTTGGCCAGCCTGCAATCATCCCAGTTGTGTATTTAAAGACACTTATTGATCTTGGAGCTGACACAAATTCCTCAAAGTAGATGACCAGGTGCACCGCCTCTAATAATGGCGTCCTTATTGGAACAACTTACATGGCCCGTTAGTTTGCCTTCTTACCGAGGCAGGAGTAGATGCTGAAATTAAAAAGCGACACAAGTAATAACAGCACTACATGTCTTCAGCAATCAGAGGATTTGGTTCATATTTCCAAGCTTTTGGATAGAGGTCAGGGTGCAATGTTTAACTTGGCAGAACAACAAGCGGCAAAAACACCACTTTGTCTGGCGTTTCAAAATGGACACAAACAACCTAGTGAAGGTTTTTTGCTGGAAAACAATGCTGATGTGAATATGCGCGACAAGCACGAACCCAAATGAACGATTATTCATTGTTCGTGGAAAGAACAGGGGAAAGACAGGCATGGCACTATGTCATGGTGGAGAAAACCATTATTGCGTTTGTTTCATAAACGGGTGAACGGAGGCAAACTGGACGTAGCAGACTTTGGAACAGTTATTGGGATCAGGGTTGGGAGAGAATCCTCCAGATTTCAAAACGGCAGACATTTTGAAAAAGGCAAGCGATCTTCAGAAAGACGTTCAAGGCAAGACAGCACTTCATGTCCGCCTGTGGAATTAAAGATGAAAACCTTGAAATTATTGAGCTCCTTGTGAAGCACGGTGCAGACGTAGATATCCGCGAGTGGTGATGGTTTTCACTTCTCTGCAAATAGCAGCGATCCTTGGTAAGATTGCAAATTGTCAAAAAGCTTGTCGAGCTCAAGGCCGACGTCAACTCAGTTACAATGGATGGAAAAGGATGCGGCTGACCTGGCTCAATTGAATGAAAGAAACTGAAATTGAACAGTACCTTAAGTTAAAGAGAAGTTCACTAAGGGAAACTCTGGAATATATTAGTAAGAAGGCAATGAAAACAGATGAACACCACCAGCAATTTTTTCCCTGATTCTGTACCATTCAAACTGGTAATGAACAACTTCAAACTGGTAATGAACAATAACAACAACAACCACAACGACTTTATTTGTTATTTTTCATGTTACACAATGTATTGCCTTAAAATAAGAAAAATAAGATAATATAGTTATATAATCGAGAAAATTATGCAAATGTTTACTTAGAACATGATTTTCAAAATTCAACAGTGAAATACAGTAGTGAATATAGCCTCTAAATAAATAACAGAAAGCAAAAAAGAGCGGCGTTGGTTTAAAATGAGACAATAACAAAAGAGATTGCCTTGAGCTAAACTAAACTGATGTCTGTCAGGATTGTATCAAAATCAAGTTGCACTGTTAGTTTGTTTGAAAACGCACTTTTTAGTTCTCAGAAATATTCTCTGTTCGTTATATATATAGCTGAGAAAAAAAGTAGAAATTACACGAAATTCGTTTTGGAAAAAGTTAAATTATTATACTTGCTGAAGCTCTGCCACCTTGCTATTTAAGAATCCTGCTTTTTCTTTTAGTTTACAAATTTACCTCCGGGTATCCGGACTTGGAAAACTGGCGTCAAATGTCGTGAACATGAGGTCATCAATTTCTGAAATTCCGCCATTTTTTATCCGCCATCTTGGATTTCATTATTTCAGAAAATCCCGTAAACACAATTTCCACACACCAAAATGTTTCTATTTTTAAAAAAAAGTGATTTTAGCGAATTAGGCTTTTCTTTGGGAAAGACTCAAATTAGTTATTTCATTAATTTGTTCTCGCCAATTAAAACAAAACACGGTTCGCAGTCAGGATATATATCAGAAATTAAAAAACACGTTGGATAATAAATCAGTTATTAGAGATTTTAGTGTAACAGTATCACTGTACATGGTTACAGGCTCGTCAAAATATAGAGCAGCAAGACTAAAATATATGTTATCTAATTGGCGTGAGGTTCTTAATCGGTAAACTGATTGCTCAAGATTTTACAAGTTTATAGTAGTAGTATTGTAAAAATACCGTCGCATGTTCAATAAAGATGTTGTTAACAATATCTTTTTTGGAAATGAGTTAATTGAAAGCTGTTGTTTGTCGTTGTTGTTTTTTTCTCACGTGTAACTG